ACATATCTAATGCGAGATGCGGGAAATAAGGAAATGTTAACTGATTTTTATAGCATAATGCAAATTTCAGCTTGATTCTTTACCTAATTTGGCAGCCAGAAAAGTCCGAAAAGAAGAAGTTAATGTAGTCAAAGGAAGCCTCAACCCCTACACGCTTGGGTCCTCCTAATTTCCGCCATTGATTCAAGGACTACGAGAAATCTATTGATTAAAGGCCCCCTGAAGTTCTTTGTCAGATGGAAATCTGAGGCAGTTCAGTTTTATATACTGTAGACCGTCCGAGGCTCGTAAATATACAGAAAGTATCCTTGAATTCTACTGCCTATCGGGAGATTTTTTGAACTTTATAGGAAAAAAGGACATCTTGTGGCTCTTCTGTTGGTAGAGCTAGAGCTAGAGCCTTAAGTTGCTAAAAGACCTATTGGAGCTCTCACATGGATAGAAGGCCTTTGACAACCTTTATACGATTAAAAGATCTCATGAAGCTGTCTTGTTCAGTTGGGATCCCTTGTATGAACAGAAGACCACCTGTAGAACCACCTAAAACTCTTCAATAGAAGCTCTAATATAAATTCCTTATATTAATGCAGTGAAGGCATCTAAGAGCTCTCCTACTGTTAGAGAATACAAGACAGCTTTTCTGTAGATAGAGGACCGACTGGAGCTCTTGTACAGATATAAGATCTCAGGGAGTCTTTTTTACAAATAAAAAAGCCTCAAAAGCTCTCATATGGATAGAAGAATACCGGATTTCTTTTATGGGTAGAACTGAAGATAAAAAACATCAAAATCATCAATATATTGATCATAATACGTTGGGTCCTGTTCTAACGGACACATAACTTAATATCTTGTTGGTCGATATTATGAATGTTTCAGTCTAACGAACTCGCTTTTGACATTTAAGGATTTCGGATATATTTCTGAAAAGTTATTATATAGGCCATCTGTTTGGCGTTTCCATGCTGAGGAGAATCTCCAATGTAAGAGCATCATTAAATATAGTTCAAATCCCAAATCAGGAGGCACCATTTTTTTCTTATTTTCTCTTATTTGGGAAAATTTTCCTTATAGAGCCTGCAGAAAATCTTTAAATAATCTCATAAAATCATACAAAAATTCATCCTCCTCAAATTCTAAGAAAGTTCATGTTTGAATACTCTCCAAGAAATGGGCATTTGGATACTCCACAAACCCTAAAAAATCCCAAAATCTTTAGCCAGCTTCAAAAAATTCTTAAAAATCCACCTTTGGGTCTGGTTGATCTTGAGAACTTAATTGTTTTGATACTTCAAAAATCCCTTAGAATTTGGGAGGCCTTAAAAAATCATTAAAAAAATCGGGTTTGTATCCTCTGAAAAGTCTTTACAAAACCACGCCAAAAATTCTTTAAAAAAATCCTTTATTGTATCCAACCACAAATCATAAAAAAGAATCCAATTTGGCTGTTAAAAAAAAATCTTTAAAAATTCTAATTTTGGTTTCTTTTAAAAATCCAATTAAAAATCTTCAAAAAGTCTATAAAAATATTTAGCAATTCCAAAAAATCCATCCATCCAATCCATCTGTTTCTTAAAAATCGTAGATGGAAATTACACTTGTGAATGTTTCAAAGATCCTTAAAAAGTCCTTGTTTGTTTTGCTTCAAAAATCATTAAAAACCATCGAGTTCTCAAAAAATGTTTCCTTAGTTCCAAGTTTGGTTATTCTTAAAATCCATAAAAAACCAAAATACTTAAAAAACACGATGAAACTCAAAAACCTTTAAACCATGAAGGTTTGGGTCAGGCCATTGATTCAAAATAATCCACCACTTCGGTCTTCCCAACCCAATCCTTCAAAATTCAGGCTAGGGTCCACATAAAAAATCTTTTTACATGTTTGGCAGGGCTCAAAAATAGAAAATCATTTGAAATTCAACCTTAAGTTCTCCCAAAAACATTTTAATATCCATTCTGCGCCTTCGAAAATCCTTAAAAAAAAAGTTACTTTGTGTCCTTAAAAACTCCATGTATAGGTCCTCCAAAAATTCTTAAAAATTTTGCATTGAGTCTTTAAAGACTATGTTCATGTCCTCCCAAAAAAAATAATTTAAAATTGTTGGGAGCGAACCTTTTTTAAAAATACAGGATTGGTCCGGCCAAAGATTCTAAAAAGCGCAAGCTTTGGTCCTTGCAAATATCCTTAAAAATTCTTGGTTTGAAGGTTTAAAAAGTTAACAAATGGGCCTTCACAATGCACAGTGGTCGAGGTCGTATGGGAACAGCGGCCAAAAATACTTTCAGTGCAAATATCAATATGAATCTTTGGTTATGGCACCTTGATGGGATAAAAATAAAAAATGTGACAAAATGGATATGGTCGATGCATGTTTTGGCATGGTCCCCTTACAACGTACCTCCAGAATAAGGTTGTTTGCCAATTCTTGTCACATTTCTACACCAGATTGTAATGTGATTTGACATTTTGCGTTCTAAGGAGTTAAAAATAATCTTACTGAAAATTATTCGGAACGGCCCGCCTCTACCTGCGGGTCCCCCCTGTAAAGATAAATCCAAAAATAGAAGTATTTTTTATATAAATCAATTCCAATTTTGATTTTTTGTAAACAAAATAAAGTAACAATTCAATAAAAAAATTAAATCAAAGTTAAATTTTGCACAAATAATTTGTTTGGCCCAAGGCCCGATTGAAATTGTAGATAATCGGTCAAAATTTAGGTATAGCTCCCATATATATTTTCATCCAATTTGCCTTATATTGTGCACCAAACTTGTATCAGCATAAATAGTATGGAATACGTACGACCAGATTTTACCTGAAAATAAGTATGTTCATCCAATTTGTTATTTTTGTCCTCCGCAGCCGTAATATGAACTCTGTAACAACGATATATGGGGAAATATATCAAATATAACTCAGAAATACCCTTGCTAAATTTTATCGAGATCGGTTAATATTTGCCTTTTATTGTGCATCAAACGTGTATTATTAGCCCAAATGGAATGGAATTTGGTACTTACGGCCAAATTGAGTCTGGAAACCAGTATGTCAAATTTGGTGGAAATCGATTCAGATATAGCTATAGCTCCCATACATATTGTTCATCCGATTTGTTGAATTTGCTCTACATAGCCGTAATACAGCTCAGAAATACCTTTTATCGAGTTCGGTTCAGATTTAGATATAGCTCTCATATATATCTATCCGATTTCAAGATAATTATGCACCAACAAACAAATTTAAACTCGACAAATTTAGTAGAAATCGATTCAGAGGAGGATATTACTCCCATATATTAGTTTCCTTGGACTTTTTATTATTACTATAATAGTAGTTGGTATGATTAAATTCTCACAAATTAAAACCTTTATTTGTTATGTGAGGCTCTACGAAATATGCAAAGTGGTGTAGAGTAACATGAAGTCGGCCCCGCCCAACTTTAAGACTTTCTTTACTGGTTAGTGTTTGGTAACGTTCGCTGTCCCGTTATAAAAGGGTCAGAGCTCAGAAGAAGACGGTTAATAAGATCTGTGTTTGTTGAAACACGAGACTTTTTTCGGGTATGATTTAGTCATAACTTTTTTATATCTTTGTTTCTAGACTCCACGGTCTCCTCCTATAATTATCTAATCTATAAAATGACAAATTTTTAAAGTCCGGTGCATGTATTAAAATTCTATGAACTGTGGGTGGAAGATAGTGCCAAGGATATCTATTTGTTAACTCTTTAGCAATTTTCAGTGCAAAGGCCTTAAATTTTTCGGCATCAGAATCAGAAGACAATGCTTGCAGCATTATTGAACACCCTTCAGTTACATCCTTATCAATCATATTCTATTCTATATTCTATATATTCTATATCACTAGCACCATAGAACTGACAAAATTGCAGCGAATTCACTTCAGTATATTGGGCATAACATACAAATCTGACAAAATCTGAAAGTTAAATTAGCACTTTTAGAATCTTAGGGCCATTTCTAATGGCGTGAAAAAAATCACATTGGAGGATTCAGGGGGGAAAACAATTAAAACTTTACATGAAATCCAATTTTATTTTCAAAATTAATCTTAAAGGCAACTCAGATCACTCACATCCTCTATATTATACACAACTACTAAACACACAAATTACTGCACTAAAAATAAGTCAATACCTTGCTTTTCAATAATAATGCCAAGATTTGTCGTTTTAAAATGTATTTAATTTTGTAATACAGTTCTATTTTTACTCCACTTTTTCCCTGATCCCACTGAAAAAAGCAACTTACTACATTTTCTCTTTTTTGATGCTATTCTCGAAGTGGGCCGTTAGAATGAAGTCAAGATAATTATGTTTTCTAAAAAGCTTAACCCCTTAAGAGTGCAGGTGTACACATTTGACAATGAATATCTGATTTTCATTTTTTGAATTTTGGCCAATGGCAGCGACCACTGTGCAATGGCTACAAAGGGCATATATCGTTTGATACGTTGTATCAGAAATTGATTTCTTGAGTGCGAGCTTCTCGAACAGACCAAAAACATGTTTTCGCCATTAACCATTTTTAATATATGTATTAAAAAAAAAAAGTTATAATTTTTAACACATTAAGCCAGAAATCAGGTTTGTAAAACGAAAGACTTAAGACACAAACACCATAGGGAATGCAACAAAATAAGACATAAAAATTTTAAAAATATTTTTTTAACGGAAATTATGTTCTATTCTTAGCTTCAACTAAAGTAAAATTGAACGAAAATTCAATTAACAGCCAAGTTAGGTCATTAGACCAAAACGAGCCATTTAAGTTAATTGGGTTTCCACAATCCGCTCTCAAAAAAAAAAAATGAAGAAAAGAATATCCGTTTCACTGGCATAGCCACAAAAAAAAACAACAACAAGACAACTGTGTTGTAATGGCCAAACAACAAAACACCAAGTCATATAAATAATTACAAAATTTAATAATACGAGACGTGAAAATAGCCAGCAATGTTGTTATTGTTGCACTTACCCATCGCAATGACCGTTTCAATGTTGCACTGCACTGTCGCATGCTGTTGGGCATTTTTCTTAAGCTCTACATCCGCTTCCGTTGGCCGTATTGATTTATTGCCCTGCAATAGTTTGTGATAATTTTCCATGGATTTCAGACAGTCGTCATAAAATTTAATGAACTCTTCCACGGACTGATGAGAAGGGGGAAAACGAAAAAACACACAAAATGATTTTGACACATTTATTTGGAAAACAAAAATATTAATAACACAACGTAAATTATGACACACACTTGAACAGACGCATGTATGTATGTAGGTCATTATCATCATTACGAACATACAAAAATCCATTGGATAGCTTACCTTCCTCTGCTGCAGCCACACATCATAATTGAATTGTAATGTTCCCCCCAGCTCCTCGGGCAGTGAAGACAAATCAAAGAATTTCGTTAAACGGGCCTTTGACAAGACAATGGGCTGGGTATACAAAAAGAAACAACAGAAATAAAATTTAAGACATATGATCAAGGCAAAATTCAAAAATTTTGAATTTAAATTTACATAGAATTTAAAAAAAAATTGTCTAATTCTTACCTCTCCCTTCCCTTGGCCTTTGGTACAGGTCTCAACATGTTTCTCCCAGAATCCCTCGGATTTGACTAGATATAGACTGACTTTTAGCCCCTCGAATAGATTATAAATGTAACGGGCATGTTGACGCGTTATCCGGGCCGTTGTCTTCTGGGCATCAACAATGACGGCTATGCCTTTTTGCAAAATGACGTCACTAAAAAAACACATGTCAAAGAATTGACAAAATAGAAAATAAATCATCAATCAATCAATCATTTATTTATTTGTTTTTTTTTTTTTTTTTCTATTCTTTCAGGTCTGTAACCTTAATTAACTTGTCTTTGATTAATCTCATCTTGAGAGGCATGTGAGTGGAGCCATGACACAAAACCCTAAGGCGTTCTAAAGTTTTTGTTAATAGTATCTAATAGGTGTTTGCTAAAGGTTGTATTAGCAATAGTGTATTTTTTTCAATTTAAAAAAAAAAACTCCACGTTTAGATGTTATGTAAATTAGGCCAACATTTCTTAGAATTGTTTCACGTTGACGCTTAAAAATTTCTCTCGAAAAGATTTTTGATTGCCAAAGTATTGATAAAATTAAATATTTTTCTAAGAAATGCCTATATTTATACCCTACACCACATAGTGGTAAGGGTATTATGTCTTTTTGCATTTGTTTGTAACATGGAGAAGGAAGCAAGATAGACCCATAGTTACTTTTGAGCATCTCCATAGAATCACTTTCTAAGTTGATTTTTGCATGTCAGTCCGTCTGTCTGTCATCCGTCCGTCTGTCCATGTATTCTTGTGAACAAAATGCAGGTCGCATTTATTATCCGATTGAGATGAAATTTTCTAAACAACATTTGTTTGGCCCAAGGACGAACTCTATTGAAATTGGAGATAATCGGTAAAAATTTAGATATAGCTCCCATATATATCTTCGCCCGATTTGCCTTTTATTTTGCACCAAACGTGTAATATCAGCCCGAATAGTATGGAATTTTGCACATACAACCAAATTAGGCCTGAAAATAAGTATGCCAAATTTGATCGAAATCGGTTCAGATATAGCAATAGCTCCCATATATACTGTTCATCCGATTTGTTATTTTTGTCCTCCGCAGCCGTAATATGCACTCTGTAACAACAATATTTTGGGAAATATATCAAATGCAGCTCAGAAATACATTTGCCAAATTCTAATCGAAATCGGTTCAGATTTGGATATAGCTCACATATATAACTTCGTCCGATTTATATTTTATTGTACACCAAACGTCTAATATTTGCCAAATGGGATGGAATTTGAGTCTAGAAGCTAGTATGCCAAATTTGGTGAAGATGGGTTCAGAAATACCTATAGCTCCCATATATATTGTTCATCCGATTTGTTGTATTTGTTACCCACAGCCGTAATATGCACTTCGTAACAACGATATTCAGGGAAATACATCAAATACAGCTCAGAAATATCTTTGCCAAATTTTATCGAAATCGGTTCAGATTTAGATATAGCTCTTTATGTAATTTCAAATTAATTTTGCACCAAATGGACAATACAAGTCCGAATTTAAAAGATACAAATGCTTCGGCATATTTAGTCCTTTGAATTTTAAATTATAATTATAATCATAGCGTGTATGATTAAATTCTCGCATAAAAATTTAAAATTGTTATGTGGAGCTCTACTAATTTAGCAACGTGGTGTAGGGTATCATAAAGTCGGCCCCGTCCGACTTTATGACTTTCTTTACTGTTTTTTAATAAAAAAAAAAAAAAACAAATTAAAAAGTTAAACAAAGGTTTTGCCGACTGATGTATACCCTCAGCGTCTGTTTATAAAAATATATTTTGACATGGTTTCAAAGGAAAGGGGTCAACGTTGTCCATTTCGTATCTGACCTTAGTCTGATATAAACGTGCCAAATTTGGGCTATAACGACTACTTCATTCACCTTTACATGAGAAATGTAATAATTTTTGAAAATTAGGAAATGTGTGTGAGATACTAAGTATAATGGACGAGAGTACTCCACTTCATTTAGTTTTTAAAAAAATATTGTAATGAGTATCTTAAATTTATTTCTTTGTTTAATCCAGTTTTAAACCTTTTGTGGGGGGAGGGGTGGTACCAGAAAGAGTGAACAGATGAATTATTTATTCACATCAGATCAGATCAGAACAGATCAGGTTACCAAATTTTAAAAGAGTCGCTGTTTTGCAAATTTTAAGAGATATAAGTATTGAAAATTGTAACCCTTTGTGGGAAGGTACCAGAAGGAGTGGTCTGATAAATTTCATCTTCACACCAGATCTTGTGCTAATAGATATATTGGAATGTGTGAAATTTGAATAGAATCGGAGAATGCTGTTTATTCAAAATGTTGAACTTTTGTGGATGAGGTACCAACAGGAGTGGACAGAAAATTTCCATGTTCACACCAGGTCTTGTGTTAGCAAAAATATTGGAATGTGCCAAGTTAGACAATAATCGGATGCTCATTTCACGTTTTATGAGCTTCATAGTTATTCAAAATGTTAACACCTTTGTGGGGAAGGTACCAGAAGGAGTAGACTGATATATTTCATCTTCACACCAGGTCTTGAGTTAGTAGAAATATGGGAATGTGTAAAATTTGGAGGGAATCGGATGTTTACTTCGCTTACTTTATAAGCGTAAAATTTTGACCCTGTGTGGGGATGTACAATAAGGAGTGGACCGATATATTCCATCTTCACACCAGGTCTTGAATTAGTAGAAATATTTGGAGGAAATTGGATGCTTATTTCAGATTTTAAGTAAACTTGCAAAAAAATTCAAAATTCCACTTACGAGTCTATAAGTACTAAAATTACGTTGCCGAATACTAAATATTAAACTTATATTTAACCTTATATTGCTCAAACCAAAATTACTCGTAGTTAAAGAAAGCAAAGAAGCAGTACTTCCACCAAATGGAATGAATTTGAAAATTTTCATAAAAAATTCTTAAGAATGTAGAATATAGGGTGTAACCATTATATTAAGATCCATACGAAAACGTGGATGTGCATAGACAATTTATGTCATAGCCATTATAGTATTCAAAAACGAAACTTGAAACAGTTCCTGTGAATAATGCCGCAAAGACATCAAAATGCCGAATATAGAGAGGTACCGTTATATGGGGAACTGTAACTGCATAGACAATTTTCTCTCTAAGACTGTAGTATCCATAAGGAAATTCAAATACGAAATTTTAAGCAATTCCGGTGAATAATGTAGTCAAAATTATGAAAATATCGAATATAGGTAGGTACCGACATATGGAGGTCTGTGCGGAGATGTGGACCTGCATAGGCAATTTTCTGTCACAGGTTGTAGTACTCATTACGAAGTGTAAATACGAAATTTGAAACCATTCTAGTGAATAATGTAGTCAAAATTATCGAATATAGGTAGGTACCCATATAGGGGGGCTATATGAAGACCTGAAACTGCTTAGACAATTTTATGTCGCAAGCTTTAGTACCCATTACGAAGTGCAAGTACGAAATTCGAAACAATTCCGCGGAATAATGTAGCTTAAATCACCGAAATACTGAATATAGGGAGGTACCGATATAGGGGGGGGGGTGTGTTTTGCCAAGGCGTAGACCTGCATGGACATTGCGAAATTTGAAACCATTCCGGTGAATAATCTCAATTCCGGTGTATATTAATGTCGTTTAGTACTTTTCGTTCACTGCATAGTACGGATTTCCAAATCCCCCTTCTTATCTATATATTATACTCCAGTATTCGCAAATCTAGTTCCACACCCATATAGGGGGGGCTATACGAAGACGTGAATCTGCTTAGACAAATTTATGTCGAAAGCTGTAGTACCAACTACAACGTACAAGTACGAAATTTGAAACAATTCCGCTGAATAATGTGGCATAAATCACGAAAATACTGAATATAGGGAGGTACCGATATAGGGGTGTTGTGCCAAGATGTAGACCTGCATAGACATTTCGAAATTTGAAACCATTCCGGTGAACAATGTCGCTAAAATCAGCAAAATATCGAATGCGGGGAAGCAACATTATATGGGGCTATACGAAGACCTGGACTTGCATAGGCAATTTTCCGTAGTACTCATTACTAACTTTAAATAAGAAATTTTAAATAATTCCGGTGTAGATAAAATCATCAAAATATCACTAAATCAACATAAAATTTTACCCTCCATACATAGTATATAAAAAAACTCCCTTGTTATTAATGGTTATTTTTTTAGCTGTTAACAACTCTTATTTTTATTGAATTTTATTACTCGACGGGAGGCCAACACATTTTCATTAATTTCTGATATTATTCATGCTATTTAATTTTCAAATACAACAATTTTACGACTTTAAAGTATTTAGAATAACTTTCCAAACTAAAGTAGGCAAAACAAAATGTGGCCCCTATTTAAAGTGCGTCTTGGGCACAGCATGAAGTGGTGGTTGCGATGTTATTACTATCAGCGGATTAAAACTGGTTGTAAACCAAGTCATCAGCAACGTTTTTTTGATTTTTTAACAGTAGTTGATGGAAGATTTTTTATTTCCTACAATCTAATCGTTATCAATGAGTAAATGAAGGAAGTAATAAAATTAATTTAAATTTATGTTTTATAACACATATTCGAGGTTGAGGTTCATAGGAATTTTAGGTGGTGGTGTATCAATAAATCTTTCAGTACTGTTATATGGGGTCCATATTCATTTTTCAAATTTAATTCTTAATTTTCATTTTTCAAATTTGGGTAGGCAAATTTAGTCTCAAAATCCACCTCCATATATAAACATTACACTCATATATTAATCGTCTTACAAAAACGCGCAACTTCATTTATTATACCCTCCATCATTCCATAGCTTTGTCATTCCGTTTGTAACTCTTCGAAATGTTCATAATACACCCTACAATGTTCAAATATTCTGGATCAGCGTACAATTCTAAGACGATCTAGCGATGTCCGTCTGTCTGTTGCAATCACGAACGAATCGAGATAGATGGCTTAAATTTTGCATATATGCTTAATTTACCAGTAGGCAGGTTAAGTTCGTAAATGGACAATGTCGGTCTTCGTTTTCGTATAGCCCCCATATAACAATACCTCCCGATATTCTAATTTTCACCAAATTTAAAATACTTCCTTAAAGGCTGAATTCGATCACCTGGGCCAAAAATACGCTCCATTTGGGCAGGTATTAAATATATGTTGCACAACAAACGCTGAATCGTATAATGATATATATGGGAGCTACAGCCATATCTGAACCGATTTTCACCAAATTTGATAAGATTTGGACTAGGGTTAACCATTTGGTGCACAATAAACGCAAAATCAGGTAATGATATATATGAGGTATATATATCCAAATCTGAACCGATTTCGATAAAATCTATATCTGATATCTGGTACAAATTATCATTGTTGAAATACTTGCTTCTAGGCTGAATTCGGCTGGATGTGCCGAAATTCATCCCATCCGAACGAATATTGTACATATGACACACAATAAAATGGAATTCGGACGAAGATATATATAGCAGCTGTATCTAAATGTTGCCCGACTATCATCAATTGCAAATTTTCATCTAAATCTGATAACAAATGAGACCTGTACTTTGTTTACAACAAGTTAAAAAGTATCAGTCGGTATTGCCGCCAGAGATATACCCTCAGCCTATGTTCGATTATCTAAATATATTTTGACTAGTGTTAAGGTTATTCAAACGTTTGACCCTCTATGGAGCAGATCCCGAAGGAATGGGCCAATATTGCCCATTTCCTATCGGACCCAAAAGTATGATATAAATATTTCGACAGATGTGCCAAGTCTAAATGGAATCGGATGTTAGTTTGGCGATTTATGAGCTTCATAGGTACTCAAAATTTCAATATTTTGGGGGGAGGTACCAGAAGGAGTGGACCGATGTATTCCCCCTTCACACCAGACCATGGGTTAATACAAATATTAGGATGTGTGAAATTTGAAGACAATCGGAATTTTACATCACATTTTATGATAGTTGTAATTATTCAAAATTTTGACCATTTGTGGGGGAGGTACACCTGTCCTAGCACTGACGCAAATATTAGGATTTGCAAAGTCGGAGCGAATTCGGATTAGCCTTTCTCTTTCTGTGCAAAAAATATGTTTTTTTTTTTTTTGAAAATTTCGACCTTTTGTGGGGGAGGTACCAGAAGGAGTGGGCCGATATTGTTCATCTTAACACCAGACCTTGGGTTCGTATAAATATTGGGATGTGTGAAATTTGAAGACAATCGGACTTTTACATCACATTTTATGAGAGTTGTAATTATTCAAAATTTTGACCATTTCTGGGGGGAGGTACTTGATGGAGTGGACCGATATTGTCCATTTCCGCACCTGACCTAGTACTGACGCAAATTTTAGGATATGCAAAGTTGGATCAGAATCGGATTATCCTTTCTCTTTCTGTGCAAAATATATATTTTTTGAACATTTCGACCTTTTGTGGGGGAGGTACCAGATGGAGTGGACCGATATTGTTCATCTTAACACCAGACCTTGGGTTAATACAAATATTGGGATGTGTGAAATTTGAAGACAATCGGACTCTTACATCACATTTTATGAGAGTTGTAATTATTCAAAAATTTGACCATTTGTGGGGGAGGTACTTGATGGAGTGAACCGATATTGTCCATTTTCACACCTGTCCTAGCACTGACGCAAATATTAGGATTTGTAAAGTTGGAGCAAATTCGGATTATCCTTTCTCTTTCTGTGCAAAAAATATATTTTTTGAAAATTTCGACCTTTTGTGGGGGAGGTACCAGAAGAAGTGGACCGATATTGCCCATCTCCGAACTCGATCTAAGTTTGACAAAAATATTACGATGTAGTCAATTTGGACCAAATCGGATACTCCCTTCGAGAGTTATCGTGCGCACCAGCCAGACAGACAGACAGACGGACGGACATCGCTAGATCGACTCCAAATGTTCTGAAACGGATTTGGTTCAAAGAGACCTAGGGTCTAAAACCGTTATTTCGACTAGGCACATTTTGGCCGTATCAAATGATATATACCCTCTGTAGCCATATGGCTGAGGGTATAAAAATACATAGATACATAAGTCGTCTCAGAATGTGATTCTATGAAGATCATTGATTGGAATTATGGGTCTATTTCTTTCTAAAGGCGCAAAAACAAATAACCCTATACCACAGTGTGGCGTAGGGTATACAAAAACTTTGCAAAGGAAAAACTCCCGCAGAAAAAAATAGACAAATACGTCAAACTTTAAGCTGGCGTTCCCGAGTCCAATATAGAATTTTTAATCAGGCTCACTATTTTTAGGCTGTTTATATTTTTAAATATTTTCTTTCTAACCACTGTTCCCATGCAACATTACAAACTTTTAATCGAACCACAATTTATGTAAATATGCAAAACCCCAATTTTACGATTAACTATTAACCACTAGCTGTTGTTGTTGTGGCCGTTGGCTCAAATTTGTATAATGAGTGATAAATGCTATTTTATTATTACCAACCCACCAATCAACACGAAAGGTATGTATATGTATGAGTATACATGTGTATGAATTCCAACTTACCTCAGCGAGCGTCGCAAATAGGCGGCGGATAGTTCCAAACATTTGCGCTGCCAGCTCTGAAGATCGTTGATTACATTGACAATGAAAATGATTTTGCCATCGCGATCAAAACTTCCCGGCAAATAGGCTGTGCGACTCTGCAAGGCGTTTAAGACATCTTCTTCCATCTTCGCGAGGCAGCAGCAGCAACAGCTGTCGTAGAAGCATCAATAGCCAACTTTTTTCTAGCAATACTGCTGCTTCTTCTTGGATTTTATGATTAAGGCCTGAGTTGATTTTTCTTCTTCTTCTCTGGATTTTAATGAAGATTGCTGTAGTTGTTGTTGTTTCAACTTAGTTTTCTTTTTATATGGAATCACTAGCAATTACACACTATTTACCAGTGCCACTGGTTTCACCACACTTCTGGGTTGTCGTCGTTGGACTAAATTTGTTGTCGGCTGGTCTTCTCGACTCGAGACAGACTGGTTGGACCGCAAGTGTTTTTTTTTTGCCGCTGTACCGCATCCACGGCTATGACATTTATCCGCCGCAATAGCAGCAACAACACAGAACCTGCAAACGTTGAGAAGAACGTTTAATTGTAATAAATCAGGAAGTTTCCCGCTATACGGTTAGTACTGACGGTGGTGATCATGCGAAGCGGGTTTTCATGGTTATGAATAGCTCTATTTGTAATTTGTTGTTGTAATATTTTTAATGGAAAATCTTGTTATTCATTGTTGTTGTGGTCATTATTTTTTGTTGCTGGAATGCATTTTCCATCAAACACGTTTGTCAGGTTAGGAATTTTTTTATTATTTATTTTACGCACTTTTTTTGAGGACAAATATTTTTTTAGTTGTTGTCTTCGATCCATAAGCACTATTTTTACTTACATACATGCAAACATATAGATGTCTATGACAGATGCTGTTCTGCGTTGCATTGAAGTTTTAGAGGTTTGTTAATGTCTGTCGATAATATTCAAAAAGGAATATGATTTTTTTATTTTGAAGTTTGATACAAATGTTTTTCGTAGGCTATATTGATGGAAATTTTCGTTGTAAAAGCAATCATTAATTCCCAATTAACATAAGGCTAGTTGAAATAGCCAGATTTTTGGCTATTTCTATTTGCGTTTTTATTTTTGTACAAAAATATTAAAACAATGACATTAAAGGCGACGTTGAAAAACGAAAATTAGTGAAAACAAATTGCAAGTTTAAAATGTAATGATAACATTTGCCGCCACAAACTCGCTTAGTATAAATCAGAACTCAGGAAAAAACAGAAGTAAATTGAAACCAATTTTAGCATAACTTCCAACACTCGACATGTTTAGCGGTGCTTCCCATAACAAATGTGCGTGGTATAGATGGATGCTATTTACAGATTAAATGTTTAAATCGGGGGGAATTAAATCTGAACCGATTTCGACGAAATTTTGGAAATGTATTTCCAGACTATATATCTTAAATTGACTATCATTATTTTGGAGTGCCTACTACGGCATGGGTAAGCTTTAATATTAATTCGGGTAAAAAATGTATGTGGGCGATTTAGCTATTTCTGACCTATTTTTTGGTGTAATTGTATGCATATATCTATGTATCATATATCTATATAGCATATATCCAAATCGCACCTGGTTCAACAAGGTTCGTCGTTAAAACAAACAATTGAACTAAGATACAATTTTATCTCAATGGGACAAAAAATGCTACCTGCGACAAGTCGGTTTTGCCGACAGATGTATACCCTCAGCCAATGTTCCATTATTTAAAAATATTTTGACTTCTGTTATGATTATTCTAATGTTTAACCCCTTATGCAGTAGGTTCCGAAGAAATGGGCCAATATTGGTCATTTCGTATCGGACCTAATAAATATGATATAAATATTTCGACGTGCTAGGTTTGGACTGTGTTATGTTGGTGGAAATATTGGGATGCACCAAGTCTTGAATGGAATCCGATGTCAATGTCGCTTTTTATGAGCTTCATGGATATTCAAAATTTTGAGCCTTTGTGGGGGAGGTACCAGAAGGAGTGGACCGATATATCCCATCTTCCCAACGGATCTTTTGTTAGTGGAAATAATCGGATGTGTGAAACATAAAAACTCTGATGCTTATTTCGAATTTTATAAACGTTTTCGTTATTGAAAACTTTGACCCTTTGTGGTACCAGAAGGAATAGTCCGATCTCTACCGTTTTTTAACAGATCCTGTGTTGATAGAAATATTCAGATGTGCAATGTCTAAATGGAATTCGATGTTAATTTCGCGTTTTATGAGCTTAATGGATATTCAAAATTTCGAACTTTTGTGGAGCAGGGACTAGAAGGAGTGGACGATATATTCCATCTTAACACCAGATCTTGGGTTAATATAAATATTGGGATGTGTGAAATTTGAAGACAATCGGACTCTTACATCACATTTTATGAGAGTTGTAATTATTCAAAATTTTGACCATTTGTGGGGGAGGTACTTGATGGACTGGACCGATATTGTCCGTTTGCACACCTGACCTAGCACTGCCGCAAATATTAGGATTTGCAAAGTTGGAGCAAAATCGAATTATCCTTTCTCTTTCTGCGCAGAAAATATATTTCTTGAAAATTTCGACCTTTTGTGGGGGAGGTACCAGAAGGAGTATATAGATATTGCCCATCTCCAAACTTGATCAAAGTTTGACAAAAATATTACGATGTACCAAGTTTGGACCAAATCGGATACTCCCTTCGAGAGTTATCGTGCGCACCAGCCAGCCAGACAGACAGACGGACGGACGGATTTGGTCCAAAGAGACCTAGGGTCTAAAACCGTTATTTCGACTAGGTACGTTTTGACCGTATCAAATGATATATACCCTCTGTAGCCATATGGCTGAGGGTATAAAAATCACCTATATTTTCCAATTATTTATTCAAACTGTTGATCCTTTATAGGGGAAGCTCCGAAGAAGTGGGACAATAAATGAGCTTGAAAAGAATCGCTGACTTGTGGGAGAGGAACCAGAAGGGGTGGGCCGATATATATCATCTAGACATCAGAACTTGTGTTAGTAGAAATATTGGAATGTGCGAAGTTTAGAAAGAAGTAGATGTTTATTTCACATTTTATGGGAGATAAAATTATTCAACATTTTGGCCCGTTGTAGTGAAGGTACCAGGATGAGTGGACCTATATCTACCAGATTTATTACGATCTACCAAGTTTGGATCAAATTCGGACGAACATCCCTAGATCGGCTCCAAATGTCCTGAAACGGATTTGTTCTAAAGTCCGTTATTTTGATGGGGTTGGTTTTGGCCGTATCAAATAATATATACCCCATGTCGCCATATGACTGAGGGTATAACAAATTAAAAATAGGTAAGTTCGGCGAGTCAAAAAATTTAATACCCTCCATCATTTTAAAGAAATTTGGAAAATGTAGAAAAAATCCCTTGACAAATACCGCTAGCAATTTAAAAAATATCCGAACATCATGTGTTACAATTATATGGGTCTATACGAAAACGTGTACCTCTACAGCCAATTATCTGGCAGAGAAGATGGTTCCTTTTGCGAACTCCTAATACCAATTTTCATATAATTCTGTTGAAAAGTTTAGCTAAAATCATCAAAATACTGAATACAGGGAGGTACCGTTATATGGGATCTAGAACATATAGTTCATTAAATCTCTTGCGAATATTTCTATATTAATTAAATATACATCCATTTTACGGTGAAGGGCATAGAAATATTACCATATACAACCGATACTTCCTTCAAAGGCAGACCCTTGTCCAAGTCTAGACCGCAATCAAATTTCCTGTAACATATTTCGTCTAAACAGACATGTAATTTTAGATCAACATTTCAATAAAACTGTTTTATCTCCAACGGTTATACATACGCCTCAGCAGCAAAAGGGCAAGTATTTAAAGGGCTTAAAAATCCTTCAGCTAGTTTTTATGCGAAACAAGCCGTACATTTAAAAAATATGTAGAACCACTGTTCGAAAAAGGTTTATTATTTCGAATTTTAAATACCTTAAATTGGAATACTCCACCCTTAGTCCTGGTTTAGACTAGTCAAATTTGCTGTCGGAATTTTTTATAGCTCTTATTTGAATTTCTATTTTGCATTTATGCAAGGCAATTTTCCTTTTCATCATTGCCTTTTCTGTCATTTTTATACCCTCCACCATAGTATGGAGGGTAAATTTAGTTTGCCATTCCGTTTGTAACACCTCGAAATATGCATTTTAAATCCCACAAAGTATCCCTCTGTGGAAATCACTCTAGCTTCCGAACGAATTGAAGTAGAAAAGTATTGAAAATGGGCCATGTATATCCACGTTTTTGGTGTAGCCCCCATATAACGGTTCCTCCCGATATTCAGTATTTTGATGATTTTAGCGACATTATTCACCGGAATTGTTTCAAATTTGGTTTTTGAAGTTCGTAATGGATGCTACAGCCTAAGATAAAAAATTGTCTGTGCAGGTCCACGTCTTCGTATAGCCCCATATTAGGTACCTCTCGATGTTCGGTATTATGATGATTTTAGTTACATTATTTACCAATTTTTTTTAAGTTTCGTATTTGAATATTATAGTGGCTTATGTCAAATGTTACCTATGCAGGTCCATGTGTTAATTTTAAGATTACAACAGAATTTTTAAGGGATTTTATTGTTTTTGAGAATTGCTAAATTCGTTCCAAATGGTGGAGGGTATTAAAAGATCGACCCTGCTTTTTTACATGTTAATTATATTTTTGTAAAAAATTAAAACATAAAAGGAATTGCCAGTAAGAGCATTTTTTCCAATCCCCTTACCAAACAAAGAATTGCTACCCGAAAACTTGCCTAATATCAATTCGGACTTAATTTTGACTGATAAAGCTTTTATGAGTTTGGGATTAACTTCAACATCTATCACGACCCACTCTCATAAACTTATCACATTTTTGGTCTGTTGGCTTTTTTCTATAAAATAGTAGTTGTCAATTACAGTTACAACAAAATGTGCATCGCAATCAGGTGAGTAAGTGTGTATATGTATTTGTAAAATTGTCAATGTTGGTATGTCCATGCCATGCACTAAGCCTGGCATACTTCTTCGGACAGCCAGAGTGCAGACATCCGCTGCATTTTTTATGAGATTCGTCAGAGACCCACTTTAAATGCGTTTAGGCCAGTGGCCATTTAAACAGCGTCTGAAACTAGTTAACGTTTTTTTGTTTGTTTGTGTCGTTGTTGTAACAAAACAGCAACTTGTAGTTGCAAAATCTTTCCATAAACTTCACTCCTTATACAGTTATTGTGTCCGACCGACCGACCGGCTAGTTGGCCAGTCAGTTGGGCAACTAGTTAACGAAAAGGCACAACAAGAATTTCCAACATATTTTATTTCGTTTGTGTGTGTGTGTTTTTTTAATTGCAACCTAAAATTCTTTGAGACTGATCGAATTCGGACTGAATACGTTATTAATTAATGCCAGTAATTTGTTATTGTCACAATGAGAACCTGTTGCGAGATAGAAGCTGTGGCCAACTTATAAATAAATCAAAAATA